GGACGATAAATCCGACACCTCCTTGGGACAGATGGTCGCCCTCCCGGTAATAGAGCAAGTTGCCGGATTCGAGGATTACCGTGTCCTCCCCCTCTCTTCGGACTTCGGATAATCCTATAATATGCCAGCGTAACTTGTCTATCTCTTCTTCCAGCTCCACAATCTTCTCGTCAGTCCTCAGGGTGCGTGCGTTGTATGTTGCCAGGTCGAGTCGTCGTAGGTGGCAACCGAACCTCCACCGGAGATTCTTAGCACCCCCTGCCCCGCCGTTACCATGGTCGCCACCGTAGCCAGGAATAGCGGGGCCGCCGGGGACTGGGGGCCGTTTATTATTGTCATTGCTCATGGGGGGTATATTGCCATAGTTGCCACGCTTGGCGAGCGGGTTGGCAACCGCAGTTTTTTTATTGTTATTTTGACTAATATCAGGAAGATGCTGCTGCCCATCTCCTGCCTGTTTCCCTTTGTCGCCTTTTACGACACCCACGGGAAGATATGGGGTAGTGGATATTCTTAACCACCACTACACGGTATTAAGGATACATAAATACATATAAATACAAACAAAATAACATACATAAAAATTCATCATGTGCATGCCAATCAATTGAGAATGCTGTGGTTACTAGATGTTATATTTTGTAGATACTAGATAGGGAGTGGTTCTTGATCAGCGCTTGTCATGGTATCCACATTTAGATAAACAAATGAGTAGGATTAGAAAACTAACATGGATATTTAAAAAACTTAGACATGCCACTCACAAGACATTGTTAACGAGTGTCTATATTACGTTGATACAATCAGTATTGTCATATTGTATTCCTGTATACTGGAAGTGGAAAGAACCCAAAGATCTCTGCTAAATGTTATGCATTTCCTACACTATAAGAACATTATGATATATAAGAGGAGACCTTATAAAGATACATTATCTACATACAAAATTCCATCCAGATCGTTAGAACCGTTTCCGAGAAATCGAGAATTTAGTTAGATATGATAACGTTTCTATTAAATATCCTATGACTATCAAAAGCTTGACTGCCTTGTTGATCTGGTGATCGTAAACGCGATTGCTTATCATGAGGTTGTGGAATCGAAGCAATCAGGCCGAAATCAGATATTATCTAATTAATCTAAAATTAATCTAACGGTGGTAGAGCCCCGCAGCAGTTTTTTGCTGTTGCACGTATGGGCCGGCTCGAGCCGGGTTGGTACCACGACCTCACAGAATACCGGCGTGAAGTAGAGGCTCTGCTTCTGCGTTTCGTCTGGTGAGTGCAGGTGGCCGGAGGCCCAATTCCCCCCCCCCCCCCCCCCCCATCAACATGGTAGCGGAATTTGACAATAGACTACCCCAGGAGGGTACCAGTACCCCTGGAGAATCCCTCGCTGAGCATCCACGACCATGTTATTCCAATCCTGAGCGTGGGTGCTCAGGCTGCCCCGCGTATTCTGGGGGGGGGGGGGGGGGGGGCAAAATTCCGCTCAAAAACAAAACTGCTCGGGGCAAGCTGAGCAACAATACCAAGGCGACCCCTGCCACGCTATCCGTGAATTTCTGCAACATCAGGGGACTTCACTCTAACCTAAACGCCGTCCACTACCATCTCGAGACGGCGAAGCCGGCCTTGCTCTTTTTGACCGAGACGCAGGTTTCCTCTCCGACTGATATTTCGTATCTCTCCTACCCGGGGTACAAATTGGAGCACTCCTTTGTGCCTCGGGCTGGAGTTTGCGTGTATGTCAGAGAGGACATCTGTTCTCGACGCCTCGGCAGTCTTGAAGGTTCGGACCTGTCCATCCTTTGGCTACGCGTAGACAGCGACGACCATCCGCGCGTCTACGGGTGCCTCTATAGGTCCCATAGCGGTAATGCCGAAACAGACCGACTCATCGACCACGTCCAAATGGCTACAGACTCCTTGCTACAACAGGTCCCATCCGCAGAGATCGTGATCCTTGGCGATTTTAACGCCCACCATGCCGAATGGCTCGGTTCACGTTTAACCGATCATGCGGGGAGATCTGTTTATGACTTTGCCTTGGCATATGGTCTGACACAACTGGTTACTTCGCCTACGCGGATTCCAGATGTGGAGGATCATACACCTTCCCTGTTGGACCTTCTGCTGACCTCTCATCCGGACGGATATCAGGTTTCCGTCGATGCCCCTCTCGGCTCTTCGGACCATTGTCTGATCCGGAGTATGGTGCCACTCACGCTCCCTTCGCGGTTGCGTTCTGCAGGTTGCCGCCGTGTTTGGCATTACAGGTCGGCGGATTGGGACGGAATGCGGTCTTTCTTTGCATCCTACCCATGGGGGCGGGTTTGCTTCTCGCCGGATGATCCCAGCGCTGTTGCTGACTCTGTCACTGATGTGGTGCTACAGGGAATGGAACTATTTATTCCATCATCTGTGGTACCCATCGGAGGCAGATCTCAGCCTTGGTTTGGTCGCTCCTGTAAGACTGCATTGCGCAGTAAGCAGGAGTGTTATCAAGCCTGGGCTGCGGCTTCAGTGACTCGGGATGTAAACACCAGCACACTTAAAAAGAAGTATAACTTCGCCTCCAGGTCCTTCAAAAGAGTTATTGCCAAGGCAAAGTCAGAGCACATAGGCAGAATTGGCGAGAAACTAGTTCGCCTTCCTTCGGGAACCCGTGCATTCTGGTCTCTCGCCAAGGCTGTCCAAGGGAATTTCTGTAAGCCATCACTACCATCTCTGCACAGGGAGGACGACTCACTGGCCCAAGACGCAAAAGACAAAGCCGACCTTTTAGGCTCCCTTTTTGCGTCCAACTCGACTCTTGATGACGGGGGGAAAACACCGCCGACCATCCCGCGGTGTGAGTGCTCCAAGCCGGATGTGCTATTCTCACAGCGCTCAGTTCGCAAAGCACTTCTCTCCCTGGACATCCAGAAGTCGAGTGGGCCTGACGGAATCCCCCCAATTGTGCTGAGGACGTGTGCTCCGGAGTTGGCACCGGTCCTAACGCGTCTTTTCCGGTACTCCTACTCCCAAGGCGTAGTCCCGAATTCATGGAAGACAGCTTTTGTCCACCCGATCCCTAAAAAAGGCGACCGCTCAGACCCGTCCAACTATAGGCCTATCGCGATCACCTCCTTTTTCTCCAAAATAATGGAATCCATTATTAACTGCCAGCTCATCCGGTACCTTGAGGATCACCAGCTTATTAGTGACCGCCAATACGGTTTTCGTCGGTGTCGATCAGCTGGTGATCTTCTGGTCTACCTGACCCATAGATGGGCGGAGGCAGTAGAGTCCAAGGGGGAGGCGTTGGCCGTTAGTCTGGACATTGCGAAGGCCTTTGATCGGGTTTGGCACAAAGCGCTTCTTTCGAAGCTGCCTTCCTATGGGCTTCCCGAGAAATTGTGCAATTGGATCACCAGCTTTCTTGCAGATCGGAGCATCAAGGTCGTTGTAGACGGTGCATGTTCTGACTACAAGCCTATGAACGCTGGTGTTCCACAAGGCTGTGTGCTATCACCAACGCTGTTTCTTCTGCATATCAATGATATGTTGCTAACTGGTAACATTCATTGCTATGCGGATGACAGCACTGGTGATGCTCTATACACCGGCCGGGCCAATATTTCTCAGGAAAACGTCGCCGAGTACCGGAACAAACTTGTGTCTGAAGTCGAGTCTTTGCTGGACAAAGTCTCGGATTGGGGGCGACTAAATCTAGTCCAGTTTAATCCTCAGAAGACACAAGTTTGCGCGTTTACCGCTAAAAAGAACCCCTTTGTCGTATCTCCTCATTTTCAAGGCACTCCCCTTCTTGCCTCAGCCAGTATCGGTATCCTCGGAGTCGACATATCGAGTGACGTGCAGTTTCGTGGTCACTTGGAAGAGAAGGCCAAATTGGCCTCTAAAAAGCTTGGCGTGCTCAGCAGAGCGGGACAGTATTTCATGCCGGCACACCGCCTGCAACTTTACAAGGCGCAGGTTCGGCCTCACATGGAATACTGTTCCCATCTCTGGGCAGGGGCTCCCCAGTGCCAGCTCCTTCCACTTGACCGCATCCAGCGCAGAGTGGCTCGAATCGTCGACGACCGAGCCCTTTCCGATCGGCTCGATTCATTGGCACTGCGAAGAGATGTTGCATCTCTTTGCATTTTCTTTCGCATCTACCATGGGGAGTGCTCTGAGGAATTGTTCGGATTAATCCCAGCCGCCAAATTTCATGAACGCACATCGCGGCAGAACTCCCGATACCATCCACATCATCTGGATGATTGGCGGTCCACCACTGTGCGATTTAGAAGATGTTTTCTTCCTCGCACGACTTCCTTGTGGAATCGATTACCATCAGCGATTTTTCCGGACCGATACGACTTAGGGACCTTCAAGAAAAGAGCCTACTCCTTTTTAAAAGGCCGGCAACGCATCTGCAATTCCCCTGGTGTTGCGGTTGTTCATGGGCGGCGGTAGTCACTTACCATCAGGTGAGCCGCATGCTCGTTTGCCCCCTCTCCTATAAAAAAAAAATTAGGTTTTACTGATTTTGACCCTTCTCATCTCATTTGGTCATCTACGTGCCTCGGAAAGCACGAAAAACCGTTTGTCACGGTCCCATCCAACTATGAGAGTGAGGAAATAGAGAATGTGTGCTGCACAGGTGCATTCGCATAGACTTGGTCACTATAATCCTGTCCTGCGCAGATGGCTAGTCTCTGTTGTGACGGACCGAAATAAAAAGCAATAAAAAGGTCTGTGGGACATATCAAAAATCTACTTCTAAACATAGCCCCCCCCCCCCCATAGATTGCCTCATAAATTTCCCCCACATTTGCCATAATTGCCACGCTTGGCAAGCGGGTTGGCAACCGCAGTTTTTTATTTTTGTCGTTATTAGGAAGAAGCTCCTGTCCATCTCCTGATTCGTTTCCCTCTGTCGTCTCTTACGACACCCACGGGATGATATGGGGTAATGGATTCTCTTTTATAATTTTTTGTTTTTACTTACAGGCCGTATCCGACGCGATGCTCGTTGAGCTCAAAGCATGCTTCATGGAGGCCTACGACGACAATCAGGATGGCAAGATAGATATACGAGAGGTAACAATGTGAAAATCTATTTATAACATATAAACTTTATTATATACAATATTAAAAACTATAATTAAAAAAAACTTAAACTAGTAAAATAACTTAATTATCATACAGTCCTACTCTCCGCGTTTCCCCGCTGAACTTAGCCTTTGAGCGAGAAAAGAATCTTATCACCAGCAACAACGACCAGCCGCGGATGGAGTTCCTTAAGGAACTTCATCCCATGTGGACCCCACAGACCGATCGTCTCCACAGCAAATGGCACAAATATGTAGTCATCTCTCCGAGACTCATATTTGCGCCACTTTCTCATCATAACTAATTTTTATAACAACTATTGTGTGGAAAATACTCATTAAATGTTTACAACCATTATAATTTTTGTAACCATTCTGAAGAAAAAGTTACCTTAATAGTTTAGGCTAGAATTTATTTTTGTTTTTAATAAATTTTCATCTGTTATGATTCTATCACAAGTTCACTGCCAAACATAATCCTCCACAAAGAACCACAAAGCATGGTGACTGAGCCTTCTACATCCATCAACTTAGTGCATATTTCATCAAATCGTCACTCCATCTAGTGGGTCGCCCAATAATGTACTTTGAGAACTTTTTCAACCAACTTCAAAAAAAGGTGGAGGTTCTCATTACGATATGAATTTTTTATGTGTGTTACCTCAAAACTTTTTTCTAGGTGAACCGATTTTTATGATTATTTTTTTTATTTGAAAGCTAGCGCTACTCAGGTGGTCCCATATAAATTTAATCAAGTTCTGACCAGTAATTTTTGAGGTATCTTTAACAATGCGTATTTAATTGACTTCGACTACATTGATGATCTTCTCATTTTATTTATATTGGGGTCGGTTGTACAACATTTTTAATTTTACCACTTATTCCCCATCGATCGTCAGTTCTTTGAACTACATTTTTTATAGAATAGGGTGACAAACGAGTACACAGTGCACCTGATGGTAAGTGGTTGCTGTGACCCATAGACATCTACATCTATCCTTAATAAAAAATCAAAATGCAGATGCGTCGTCACCCGTGAGGACCAACATGGAATGCCTCTTTTCCAGTAAAAAGGGTCTCCGGTTCTCTACACTCACCATATGAAACACAGCAGTGTTAAGCTGCTATTTTACGCTGGTATTCTGTGAAAGCGTGGTCCTTCCCCGGTCGAACCGAAACTTGTTCCCAATCGCTCGTCAGTTTTTTGAACTGCATGGCTGGCCTATTGCCACTTTGCTGATTTGTTAGACTGTGTTAATTACATTTATTGTATTGCTACTAATCCATGTTGTTCTATTTTTCTAGCTAGCTCAACTGCTGCCGATGGAGGAAAACTTTCTTTTATTATTCAGATTCGACAATCCGTTGGAGTCCAGTGTGGAGTTTATGAAGGTATATACTCTATTTGCTTTAAATGTAGCACACTACGATTTATAAAGTTAGTGTGACTGGTATTGAGAATTTTGACGCAGTAAGTTTTGGTGAAATGAAGGAATGCATGTCTGAGAAATAAAAAATAAAGAAATAAAAAGTTTTCGAAGACATGTGAAGTTCGCCAAAAAAGTGGTAGCATATGAGAACCCACTACCCCATATCATCCCGTGGATGTCATAAGAGGCGACAGAGGGAAACTTAAACAGGAGACGGGCAGTTAACAGAATAATAAAAACTGTTGCCTGTCAAGAGTAGCTATAGTGGTAATTATCATTCTATAAGGCAATCTACGGGAGAGGTTTTTCAGCAATGGACTTTTCATAGGCTGCAATAATTGAACAAATGAATGAAAGTAAGCGCTCGCCGCTACCCATGAACATCTGCGACGCCGGAGAAATTAGTGCGTTACCGTTCTGATGCGTTTCATTATTAAGTATATGGAGAAAAACCTTGTTATCTATATGTAATAATTTGCGATCTAAATGCTTATTTAATACGAACTCGATGGTGAAGGAAAGCATCGTAAGGGACATGTGAAGTTCGCCAACACGCACTGAAGGTCACACTGAAGCCCATACTCTCCATAGCACTGTCGAAAATGAGAGTTGGCACTTGCCCAGAAGTGTGGCTTACATAGGCTGTAATTTCAACATATTATTAACATTATTGAAAAGAAAGAAAGAAAGAAAGAAAGACATTTATTCACTGGAACTGTACACATCACAACAATAAAAAATAACAAGTTAAAAGTATGGTAGACTAAAATTACGAGAGTGTATAGCGCCAGTGCATAGGTTATGACTCAGCGTAATGCTGCAGGGTAACCTACAGCGCTGATGATTCTGCCATAACCACAGAAACACGCACGATCCGCCTGGAAGTGTTTATGACATTCATTTCAATAATTATTTTATAAATTGAATTATTTCCTTGCTAATAAATATACCTACATATACATTTAGGGATATACACACATACATACATACAAGACATATTATACATAAATATATTCATATCATATTATATTCTATATAAAACTAAAAAGGTTTCAATACATATATAAAAATAAACGTAACAATAAGCTTAGAAAATACACACTAAAAACAAACATATAATGCTCAACGATGCTGGAAGATAGGCTCAAGGTTGAGCTTTTTGTGAGTGTAATAAATGATTTTTATAATGGGATTTAAAATTATACTTTGAATTACACTCACGAATAGGTGGAGGAATGTCGTTCCAGCACCTTGTAGCTATATATTTAAAACTACCTCTGAAAGCTGCAGAACAGTAAGTGGGATTGGCAAGCGGGTTCGTACAAGACCTAATGATGTTTTGTCGATTTCTCCATATAAGTTTATCATATAAATATAGGGGTGACTTAGTTTTGACAACATCAAATAGAAGATTAGCGAGGTATAGTTTCTGTCGCGCTTTCATTTTCAAAATGCCTGCTTCATTGAAAAAAGGTGTTACACGGGACCGTTTTGGTATTGAGAAGCAGTATCGTGCACATGCATTTTGTATACGTTGAATTAGACGTTGTGACTTTTCCAAAATACAGGGTCCATACACTGTAATGCAGTGGTTTAATTTTGAAAGAACGAGAGATTCACACAGTCTAATTCTTAAGTCCAACTGAATGTATTCGCGGATTCTATATAACACCTTTAACCTATAAAAGCAGTTGCGGACAAGCTCGAGTACGTGTTTTTCAAAACGCAATCTGCTATCCATAACTAAACCGAGGTTACGAGCTTCACCTACACGCTCCAGAGGGATGTTTAACAACATGATTTTAGGGTTTTGATTTTCTAAAAATTTGATTTGGTTCTTTGATCCTAAAAGCATATACTTAGTTTTTAGCGGGTTTAAAATGAGGGAATTTTTCTGTGACCATATTGCAATTCGATTCAGGTCCTCATTGATGTTACTAATTGCGGAATGAAATTCAAGTGAATTGCAGGAAAGATATACCTGTAGATCATCAGCATATAGGTGGTATTTGCAGAAGTGCATGCAGTTAGTTATATCAGCAGTGTAAATTATAAATAACAATGGTCCTAAGATAGAACCCTGTGGAACACCTCTATGAAGTGGTCGTTGTTCAGAAACAAGGGAAGACCCATTTGGTTGATTTAATATTACTTGTTGTGAACGGCCGCATAAGTAACTTTGAAACCATTTTATGGAAGATGTTACAAAACCATAAAACGATAGCTTAGACAGCAGCAAATCTATGTTAATAGAATCAAATGCTCTTGAAAAATCAAGCAGGGTAAGGATCGTACCTCTACCAGAGTCTTGAGATGTAAGAATATTGTCAACCACGTCAAGTAAAGCAGTAGACGTGCTTCTACCTTTTCTAAAACCTGATTGTAAGTCAGGTAAAATATTGTTAGCATCACAAAACTTGACGACTTGATTATAAATAACTTTTTCTAAAATTTTTGAGAGAAAGGGTAGTATACTTATTGGCCTTAAGTCTTTGAGATCCTTAGGATCATTGTTTTTAGGTAAAGGACGTACGAGAGCTATTTTCCACGAAGAAGGAAAAGTAGATGTTTCAATTGACTTATTTATGATTGCTGTAATGACTTTTAACGTAGCCGGAAGTGTTAAGATGATCATATCCCTACTCAACTTATCAATACCGTGAGCATTTGATTTTATTGATAATATAATCTTTGCAACATATTCTTCACTTACATTGTGAAATTTAAATTCATTACACCCATATCGATGAAACTCATATTGAGTTAAATCAGAAATGGTTAAATTATTATTCCCGGGAACATTAAGAAAATGGCTATTGATTATATGTTATATTAACTGTAGATCTGGCGAGAATATGACACGGACGGCAGCGGATACATCGAGGCTGATGAACTCAAGGTAATGTTTGTCTTTTAATATATGTAGGTACACAAAAACAAAATTAGATAAAAAAAAAATAATTAATGCTTTAATTAATTAATGATAAATTTATATACATTTTTTTTCACCAGTTACTCGACTTCAAAATCGATCATTTATTAATGGAGCGATGCAATTAATGAATTGCAAAAGTCGTAGTTACCAATTGTAGCGGTGATAAAATATCTACTACCCCATATCATCCCGTGGGTGTCGTAAGACAGACGAGAGACAGAGCGACAGAGGGAAACAAATCAGGCAATCAGCAACAGCTTGTTCTACGATTAAAAATAAAAAACTGCGGTTGCCAAACCGGTTGATAGGCGTGGCAACTAAGAGGTAATTTATGAGGTAGGGCTATGTTCAGCGGTATACTTTAATAAGCTGTAACGGTAAATCCTAGAAAACGATCTGTCTAATACGATATTTAAAATTTCTACGTCTGCATAAAAAGGGCTATTGTTGAAGTGCTCACTGCGAATCTAGTTTTCATAATCATTTCACAATAAATTTTACAACACCTTTGTAAACTGTTATATCAAAAAACAGCATTTGCGAGGCTACTTACTAGTTCTGCAATGGGCAAAGGCTTTTTCTCGAACCAGTAAGTAGTTGAAATACTCTAGTCTGACCTCGACTTATTTCTACTCATAATTGCTAGTCGTTAATGCAACTTATTTTATTTATTCTTTATTGCATTCCTTAATCTAAAAGAATACAAAGGGCGGACTTAATGCCTTGTGGCATTCTCTACCAGTCAACATCTTTATAGAGTTTTTTTTTTATAGAATAAAGGTGACAAGCGGGCACACAACCCACGTGATGGTAAATGGATGCTGTGGGCCAATCTACATTTATCATTGCTTAAAAATCAAATGCACCCCTTAAGACTAAGATGGAATGCCTCGTATCCAGTAAAGAAGGTCTCCGGTTCTCTACACTCACCATTCGAAACACAGCAGCATTAAGCTGCTATTTTACTCTGGTCTATTCTGTGAGAACGTGCTCCTTTCCCGGATGAGCCGACCCATTCGTGCTACAACTATAATATAGCTGCTCCATGGCTGTACCACTTATAAAGAATGCTGGCCTGATATCATAAAACGAAAGCAACTTTCGAAATCATCCTTTGTTACAATAATTTTGTTACCGTTGAATTGATTTAAATAAATAAATTCATATTGTAACCTAAATATTAAATAATTGCGAAAAAAATAAATACAAGTCTAAATTGAACTACAATATAATATAACTTTTTTAAATAAACTTAAGACATACTAAAATTAAATACTTTCATGCAGCGCAATGGACTTCTTTCTGCTCTAAAATCCCTTTCAGAAATGGAAGGAGGCCGGAGGCAATGGGACACAGGCAGATAATTTATTTTATAATAAGCTAAGCTAATTACGAATATACCTTTAAGCATAACATCTTAAAACGATGATGAACTGTTTCCAGAATTTTCTTCGCGATCTGTTAAAGGAAGCGAAGAAGATCAATGATGTATCTGAAGACAAACTTATAGAATATACAGACACAATGGTAAGTACATATACATTACAAAAGTTCATATATATAATAAACTATAATAATTATAGCATACGAGTTTTCCGTTTTTCCTTTAAATATCTACTCAAAGCCGTTGAGTTATAATAACTCAATGCTCAAAGCTTATATCTATTTATTATAATATTACTAGTTCTAATATTTAGCTGTCCTCAACTGTCAATATTGTGTTTTGTATATTTTTTTCTTTATTTAATTTTTTATATATACCTTCCCTATTCGTAATTCCTTGTTTTTGTCTAACAGTTCTTTGCGGGAAAAATGTCTGGAAGGAATCGCTTAGAGAGCGATAAGACCACCTGTTGTACCTTCTATATACATATTTCATTTTCATTTCCTTTTAATGTGTGATTGTTCTATTTAAAATTCTATTTGACGCCGGTAAGTACGTATCATGTTGAAACGTCTCGTTTTAAAGCTGCTTCCCCTAGAACCTTTCACGTGGTCGGATCTTATGCCTTCCACATCCAAGTTTCCTATATACCATAGGTATATTCCATAGGTACTACATTATGTACCACTTGTTATAAGGACCCACTGAGTTATATGTACTGCGTACTACAGAAGCCATTCTACACAAAAAATGTGCACTACTCTATGTACTCGCGCATGCGCAGTTGATTTATGCTCGGTTTCTGAGGTACTTTTATCGGCAGTTTATCTATTCGTTAGCGCTATTGGTTCGATAACTTGTGAAAGTGCGTTTCCTAACATCGCAATGTAAGATAAACTCCGTTTAAGCTAAGTTTAATTTAACTGGCCAATATGTGCCATTTATCGGTTCTATAACTTTACGAGTATTTGACGTATAATTTCAAGCAAACTACATCAACTTTTATGTTATAACGTGTTATTATTAAAATAAATTGCCAGTGGGCGCTAAATACTAAAATTTTCAAGGGATAAAATAATTATTAATAGAAGTGCAATGAATACGAGTACTCTTCTCTCTTTCAGAAAAAATTTTTACTACATTTTCCAGATTCCACAATGTTTTGGATAATGCAAAACGATAGTAAATACCACTAAACTTAAAATCAGAAAGTTATGAAAAATAAAACCACATTCGAATAAAAGTAATGAGTTTGGTGTTTTCTTTTTTAACAATTTGACAATACAATGATGTCATTCATACAGTTTCTGATAAATATGGAATTATCATATTTTATTACTAAAACAGTACATATCCTCTTATTTAGCCTCAAAAAATATATTTTATAAATAATACTAGTATAAATGAAGAATTGAAATTAAAAAATCAATTTTAGATTAGATGTCTTAAACAGACCCATCTAGCGCCAAATTATGGTACTTGTTAATGGTTTCATAGTTGTTGAACGATTCGTTGAGTATTCAGAAACGCAGTGACAGTTAACCGACGTTTATCCTATAGATAACTTTATTGAATCAATAGCTAATGGGGAGATAACTAGGAACTTCAGAAACCGGGCATTAATCGCGTTGCGCCTGCGCGGTCATCACTATGTTGAAATCTTGTATTATTAGCGCCGCTCCACACTGCATATATATTGAAACCACAGACTGATTTAGTACATTGAAACCACACTAAATGACACACTGTACGGATTGCAGTACAGTTCAGTGGAACATAGTGTATGTTCGGAATGCGAAATCTAGTACGTAGTACATATTATATATCGATGTAAGGTACCTAAGTCCGCTATTGCCCTTGTTTGCTTGTTTGCTCAATAACAATAGTTAATTTTGACTGTATAACTTCCGATCCTAAATCCAAGATAAAGCTCTAGGGACAAGGTCAAGTTCTGTTTCTATGTTTAGAACAGGCAGGGTCAGAATGTGTACAAAAGGCTAATTGTTACTTTTTCTGGTATGGATATGTTCTGACGCTACATTTGAACCTACCTTCGATATAATCGAAAGAAATGTACTTATAAGCCACAACATTTAAATGTAGTAATTTCTTAAAGTGTTAAATTAATAGCTGTCAAACACAGGGCGCCAGACGCAGTTTCTAAGCGCCTTGTTTAGGCTTTAGGCTTATTACCAAAATAGCGGCGAAGTAACAGCTGATAAATCATCCTTAATGTACTGGATCACAACGTCTCTCTCTCTCTCTCTCTTCCTGGCTATGTGTCCCACATGGTGGTGGGGTCAGCCTTTCTTGTCTTACGCCTCCACTTCGCTCTATCCTCGACTTCATTTTCGGAGACTTCGCACTCTCTCATGTCCTTTACCACTACATCTTTCCATCGTGTTTTGGGTCTGCCCCTGGATCTTCGACCTGGGATGGAGAGTTGTAGTGCCAAGTTCCCTACGTAGTCGGGTGGCCTCCTCTTCACGTGCCCATACCATCGCAGCCTACTTTCCTGCATCTTGTCAGCGATGTCGCGCACGCCCAAGCTTCCTCGCACGTACTCGTTGCGGATTTTGTCGCGCTTGGTAACGCCGCACATCCACCTCAGCATCTTCATCTCAGCAACTTGCATGGTATGTACATTCTTTTGAGTTACGGCCCATGTTTCACTGCCATACAATAGGACTGGTCTGATGATGGTCTTATAGATTAAACCTTTAAGTTTGACCAGCATTATCCTATCGCACGTGACACCAGTCACTTCTCGCCACTTTAGCCACGCTGCGGCTATTCGGTGCTGAATGTTAATTTCCAAGTCCCCAGAACCGCTCATCATACTACCCAGATACTTGTATTGATCACACGAGTTCACCAATTGTCCATCGATGGAAATCGGACTGTTGTTTGTATCTGGGTCGTTGAAGGACATGAACTGAGTCTTTGCCACACTCAGCACAAGGCCACCGGTCTGTAACTGATGTTTCCACGACACGAGTGCCTCTTGCAAGTGAGCGCGGCTGTCTGTGCAGATGGCTACGTCGTCAGCGTATATAAATGTCCACGTTGCTGAATTCTGTGCCGCTTCGGTGAGTGAGTCCAGAACCAAACAAAACAGAAAAGGGCTCAATACAGAACCTTGGTGCACTCCTTCTGTGACCGCTATCGACCTGGTCTCACCCACCACGGTCCGAACCATTGATCTCGCATCTCTGTACATGTCGGCAATGATGTTAACGTAGTGTTCGGGGACATTTTTCTTACGAAGGCTCCACCAGATCGTATCCCTTGGGACACGGTCAAACGCCTTTTCCATGTCCAAAAATGCGACATGTAATGGTCGGTTTTTCGCGCGATACTCTTCGACAATCGTGTTAAGAGCAAACATCGGATCCGTGGTAGACAATCCAGGTACGAAGCCATAGTGGTTCTTAGACAGCTCGCACTCGGATCTTATGCGGCTGTCAATTACCCTCTCATAGAGCTTCATGGTGTGACTGAGGAGCTTGATTCCGCGGTAGTTGTTGCACTCGTACTTACTACCTTTTCCCTTGTAGATGGGAACTATAATGCTCAATCTCCACGCCTTTGGCATTTTTGAAGAGAACAACATACAGTTAAAGAAATCGGTTAGCAGCACGAGTCCGCGTGGACCTAAGCATTTCCAAGCTTCCACTGGTATTCCGTCAGGTCCAATGGCTTTCTTGTTGGACATTTTGTGTCGGGCTTTCTTTACCTCATCAGGGTGTATTGGAGGTATAAGTCCTGCATTCACTTCCACTCCAGGAAGTTGTGTGGCAGCTAGATGGGGTAGGGATAGTAGCTGTTCGTAGTAATGATGCCAAGCTGTTATGACATCATGGTCTTTATATAACAAGTCGCCATTTGGTCCTTTGACAGTTTTACACCTGGCCGGATCCTTTGTGCTTTGACAACGCTGTTTTGCTAGCTTATATATACACTTTTGGCCTTCTTTTGTGCTTAATTTACTATAAAGCGTTTTCTGGGACTGCGCACGTTCTATGGCTATAACTTTCTTGGTAACTTTTTTAACTGCTTTGTACTTTTCCCGATCTTCTGGGGTTAAAGTGGACTGCCAGGTCTTAAAAGCATTTTTCTTTTCCCGTATTGCATCTTGCACCTTCTCTGTCCACCACCACGTCTCTCTGTCGGATTTTTTACCGCTTTTTGTACGGCCAAGAATGTTGTTTGCAGTAGTTATAATGGACTTACGTAAATTTTCCCATATGGTGTCAATATCTGATTTAACATCAACCTTTAAATCAGCAAGACGTTCACAGAACTCGGGAATTTTCTCACCTTTTAGGTTCCACCATTTGGTGAGTTCAGGAATTTGAGTTGGTTTTTCCTTGGGATGTCGTTTGAATAGCACGTCCATTACAACAATACGGTGTTGGGGGGCGACGCATTCTCCCGGAATAACCTTACAATTTGTTACACGGCCAATGTGAGCTCGGTTGATTAGTATGTAGTCAATCTGTGAAGATATTTGGCCGCTTTTATACGTGATTAGATGTTCGATCTTTTTAGCGAAGAATGAATTGGCAATAGCAAGATCGAAGGCTGCTGCCGTGGAGAGAATGACTTTACCAGCATCGTTTAGTGTTCCGTACGCGTAACCTCCGTGCACCCTTTTGAAAGCGCTGTTTGCTTCTCCGATGTGGCCGTTTAAATCACCTCCCAGTAAAGTAGTTTCTTTAGGAGATATTGATTGAAGAGTGTATTCTAGGGAAGTCCAAAAATTGTCTTTCTCTGCTTGGCTACAACCCACTTGGGGAGCATATGCAGCTACAATATTTAGTACCTCACCTTCCACCAGTACCTTTATTGACATGAGTCTGTCGTTAATACGGTTGACGTCCAGGATGTTTTCAAGATGATCTTCTTTGACAGCAATTGCTACGCCATTCCTACCATGCTTTGCACCTACGTACATAAGTTTGTAGCCCTCTCCGATATTACGGGCTTTGGATCCAGTCCATCGAGTCTCTTGTAGACATATAAAATCTACCCTTCTGCGCTTGAAAAGAGAGGCAAGTTCCTTAGTCTTCCCCGTTAATGTTCCTGCATTTAAGGTAGCGAAGCGGACTTTTAGGTTACGATTTGGGACTAACGTCGTTAGCCGAGCCCGTCCTTGACTCGGTAGCCCTAGCATACTATTCGCAGTTTTAGGGCAATGTGACTGCGCGTCGTTTCGCGGCGACGCCCTATCCGTGAAACTCAATCCATTACGTAACCTTTCCATGTTTCTTTTCTAAAGATTTGGCTTTTGGGGTTTATTAGTCTATTGCCGATTGCCATCTGACGCAAAAACACCTACCCGCTCAAGGTAGGGAAACCCGTTATGGAGGTGTTGTATCCAGTATACAGGGTATTTCTACCTGTATGAAGCGCTGTCTGGTTATCCCGCCAGACGTCGGTCGCTGGAGCCCCGTCCGTAGGTCAGCAGAGTGTACCACGTGCAGGTGGGGTTGGCGTTTGGGCTGGTAAAGGTGTTGTTTCCAGCCCCTTACACTCCTAGCCCCTTACACTCTGGATCACAACGTACCTAGTGATTATACACACTTTAGGTGTAGTTAAAATATATCCCAGTAAAATGGTGACGTAGTACAACCTTTATCCTAATTACGAGAGCGTGATCAAGGCATTGATATAAAAAAAACCCGATCTAGCACACACACACTTTTCATTCTATGAGAAATTCTATGAAAAATTATATTGACAGTCATACTACATACAAAATATGTACATAATATATTATATGTTATTTTAAACAACATAGTGTTATCATTAAAAAAATATAACGCAGTAACAGAGTGATTCCCACCAACCTCGCGAAAGTTAAACAATGGCAGTGCTAGGACTTACAATTCAGTAGAAACATACCTTATTACGATCTAGATTACGTTGATTATTATTTAAAAAATACCTACAAGAGGTTTCTCTCGTAAATAAGTTAGTTTAATAGATTATTTATTAATTTTTTCATTGTAATATACAGCTCCAAGTGTTTGACTCCAACAAGGACGGGAAGTTACAACTCTCTGAAATGGCAAAGTAAGTAATGATCTTTGGTTTTTAATAACTATTATAATATTATTGATAGTTCCCGTTGTTCAAGAATGGCTGTTCATCATGTTCATCCAGGATTGATTCGAATCCTTTGTGGGCCGGCTTTTAAAAAAGTCTAATTTGCAGCTATATAGGGCCCATAATACAAAATGTAAAATTCGCCCATATATTTTAAAATGCGTGAGTAAACTGAATTAAATCCCTGCTGGTTAATATCGATTCTAATCACTGATTTATCACGCGATCAATATAGAGAATTGAGTTGTGGCGGCGCTGTCGTCGCGCCACAAGCGAGAATAAATGGAAGCCTAAATCACGCTTCAAAATTAAAAGCAGTATAATAGGTATATAGAATAAGTCCAAACTACCACTAGGAGCGTTGATCGCTCCCCGGGATTAACACTTTCTCCGGCGGGAGATCTTGCTTTCCTTTCACGGCTACAGAGTGATCGTTATTCGATATGAAGGTGTTTCTCAAATGATTTTTTCTTGGTGATTCTTCCCATAATAAAGGTTGTTTTCTAACCAATGCTAAAATTATGATTATTCATACTACTACTATATCATTATGGTGTAAAAAACAGCGCTTAAACTTATTAGATACATCATATTTAAATAATAGTATGCAAACAGTTGTTATCAATGTGAGTAGTTATAAGTAGCAGCACGAAAGTCTAGCGGTGACCGTTATTGCGCATAAGTCGCGCTGATTGGCTCGTGCGTATCGTTTGAACGCGCTGATTGGCTTTCCAGTCACATTCGTGCAATTCATGCAATTCGTGCGCGTCCCCTCCACGTTTCGCTCAGCGCTAGACTTACGTGCCCTGACTTGTATTCCCGTGTAATATAAATGATTTACTTTGTTGAAAGACTTAAATGACAATTTTCATAAATCAGTTCACTGGCTTAATATTAATATCAATAGCGTCAACAATTTTGCTTTTGAACGCTGATAAAACGAAATTTATCAAACTCACTACACCAAATGTTAAACAATAACAGTTTTGTTAAATCCATTGTTATTCTTGGAATAACAGTTTACGAAAAACTTCAGTGGGGACCGAATATATCTAAACTAGGTAGCAAACTAGGTAACAAATCTGCAGCATATGTTGTAAAAAGATTAGAAATGTTTTATGTGTTGAAACAACTACATTAGTTTATTTTAGTTATTTTCGTAGCAAAATGCGAGTGACATCAAAACTATCTTAGTTTTGCAAAAGAGCAATTTATAACCTAAGTCCGAAGGAGTCCCTTAGAGAATAATTTAAAGAAATAAATGTAGCTATTAATTTTGACCTCTCAGTATGTACACTAAAACGAAAATCGTTTTATTAAAAATAGTGTAATGTACATCATTCTGTAAGTACTAGGAACAAGCCCATGCCTGTAATATCAGTTACTCGACTTCAAATATTAAGTAAAGTAAAAGTCGCAATGTGTGCAGTTTACAACAATCAAGTCCCAGAAAATATACAGAACCTATCTAGCAAAAAGTAATATTTTTACGAAGCAAACATTTTAAATAAGAGTTAATATATTACTAAAGAGTATATGATTAATATTGGCCTCTGGGAATGGCACGATCGCTACCATGCAATTTCTAAATGTTTTCATATTTAAAGTAAAATTAAAGTAAAGTTACAGCCTATTTACGTCTTACTGCTGGGCACAGGCCTCCTCTCATTTCTGAAAGGGTTTTAGGGCAAGGAAATGTTCGCCGCGCTGCCCCAATACTTTTGGCGAACTTCGCATGTCTTCGAAATATTTTATTTTATTTCTCAGACGTGTAGGTTTCCTCACGATGTTTTCCTTCCTACACCGAGCACTAATATTTATTGTAATTAACAATTTCATTGGTGGCGGCGGCGATCGAACCCGAGTTGCTCGCGTACTGTGAAATTTACATTTTTAATTATATTTTATTTATACCTCTCATTACGATAAAACTTTGGCAAATTCTTGTGCGCGTCCGCGAAGGCTTCTAACACAAAAATTAATATTTGTTTGTTTGTTTGTTAATTTTCTATGCGTTCCTTATAACATTCATCCAATTACTACGATACTTCGTTTAGTTTTTGTATGGGCACCCATAAAGGTTTCCCGAGAAAAAAAGCATTACAATTTACAACGCATGCCCGGTACAGATAGTATTGAGCATTTATTTTTAATTATTTTATTGTATTTTATAATTATATTTTTTTTTATATTTGAAGATAATTGTATTACTCAAACGTGATCCCTTTTCAAGTTTATTCTAAAAATTAATTAAACTGTTTTTAACAATTTTATCGCCTTTCATTGTATTTTACAAAAAAAAATGATGCTTAAAAGAAATTTTACAAATTACAATATTTATATCGTGTAGATTTGTTTCAAAAGGGTATACCAAAAGACAATATCAAATTCGGTCCATTGCAATGTAATAACATATCGCTTAAAATAGTCTCCATTAAATCTGAAATTTAAGTATCCCCTAAATGGAAATACAAGGTAAACGGAATCAATATCTGAAAGCCAGTTTTAATCTTGTCACAGCCGACCGAAGTTAATTAATATCTATTCTCAGTTAATAGAAGGTTCTGGAATGTAGTATATATTTCTATGTAAAACACTGTTTATACGGTGATTTTTAAGCCAATAAAGCAAAGTAAAATTAATAGCCTACAGCTGGGCACAAGCCTCCCCTCATTTCTAAAAGGGTTTTTGGGCTAGTTCGCCCCGATTGCCTTAACGAGTAGAGGACTTCATAATATGTCCTTGATATTACTTTTTTTTAATTTATTATACATGCAGGTATTCCTCACGATGTTTTCCATCACCACCTAGCACGTGATACATCCTCGCGTAAAATTGCAATTCAGTATTCATACTCATAATCACCGATTGGTATTTGTTGAAGGTCATACAGGCCTACTCACATAGCTTAGTCGCTTTATACACGGTGCATCTTGCTGTACGTCCCGCCAAGGTCATGCACGACGCACGACGCAAAACGATAATGACTAAGCATGACGTACGTCAATACTCGTAATTACATTCGTCAAGCCTATTCATTGTCGTTTTGCGCCGTGCGTCGTGCATGACTTTGGCGGCACGTACAGCAAGATAGACTGTGTAGAACACGCTTTAATAACAAGTGTCATTTAAAACGCTGTCAGAAATAATAACAGGCCTGTGCTTATCAGTGAGACGTATACAAGCTGTAATTTTACTTTACATAAATAATAACCAGTTTACACGAAATGTTATGTTTATTTTTATAAAATAACAACCCTGTGAAAAATCCGCTATTATATAATTGTAACAAACAACAGCCTATAAATTAAATGGTCTATAAACTTTTACAGATTGCTGCCAGTAAAAGAAAACTTCCTTTGCAGACAGGTCTTTAAGGTACGTTCACATTCATTGATTTAAGTGACATTATACACAGATCATTTTCCATATTTCGTTCTATTCTATTACGTATTGCAAATACTAGTTAATATTCGTATACAATATATAGTATTACCTAGATAGATACCATGCACGCACTAAAAGAATAGGACTTCGAATTACGCATTAACTTCAATTGTTTTAAGTGAAAGTTGCAAGAATTCAAACAAAAACATGTCACTAATTGTTATTAACTGTTTGATGTGACCGATAAAAGAAAATAAATAAAATAATAAACTTAAAACGTGTCATCAAAAATAACATTTAGAGAGTCAAGTTGTCTGTAAACCAAAGAGTGTAGAAATATCGTACGGAAACGATAACATAAGTATATTTTTGCGTGGTAGAGCATCGCTACTCTGTATAATGCTGCACTCGTAGAATTATTGGCTGCACCATAAATGGGTCGATTCAATCGCGGATGGAACACAGAATATCAGCGTAAAAGTAGGTATGGCGAGTGAAGAGAAGTCCTCTTTCTACTGGTAACTTGGCATTCCATCTAACACTTCGGCGTTTATATTCTTAACTAGCTGTTCCCCGCGATTTCGCCCGCGTGTAATTTACTGTTTTAATTATATTACGCGGAACCCTAATTCTCTTTCTAAAATATAAGTAGCCTAAGTTACTCCTTATAACTTCAGTAACCTGCCAGTGAAAATTGGAAATCGGTCCAGCCGTTTCGTAGATTAGCCGGAACAAACAGACAGACAGACAGACAAAAATTTTAAAAATTGTGTTTTTGTTATAAGTACCGTATATACTTTCATATGCATTTAGTAAAAAGCTGTTATTTTGACATTACAAACAGACACTTCAATTTTATTTATTTGTATAGATGAAGATGTCTATGGACCACAGCATTCACATTAACATTAGGTGGGCTGAGTGCTTTTATTCTTATATGTATTAAAATAAAATTTGAAAAAGTTTTTAATTTTTTGGTGCAAATTTATGTATATAATATGCAATACGTAATAGTCATAGAACTATATTATAATATCGTTCATTTATTATTTTGTTAATTAAATATTTCAGTCTCAAACTTTGGTGTCAGTTTAAACTAATTGCATACACTTAATTACATATTAAGTTTTAATAACTAATGCAACTTGAATGAATTCCATTTTTTTTTATGTTTGTCCTTACGATTATAACAATAATGCAATACAGACAGATATTGCTAAATAATTTGAAAAAATTCAAAATTCGTAAATTCATTGTCGTTTTATTTGATCGTTCAATAATGTACATAAATGCTTATCTAACTAATCTAAAAACTTATTTACATTTTTATAATTAAAAAGGTTGCATTTTAAAAAAAGTATGCACAGACAGCAAAATCTGATCTGATATTTACACAATTTGCATGATAGCTTTTAATATTCACGTTTACACGGTATACTGTGCTCGCATTTTCATTTCCGACCACATTCAGCTTCATTCTCGCTATCAGATAATTGCAGTAGTTACTACAATTTTCAATTTGTAGCAACATCTCTTCAATCAATTTCCAGCATAACAAACAGAAAAATGGCACTAAAGAAATCTTACATATGATGTAAAGTTATAAAAATGCTGATCAAAAATAAATAATTGCTATTTTACTTCTCACGTAATATAATTATCTTAGATTAATGATAAGTCATCGCGCGCTCTGACTAGATACCGCCGGCGTTCTTGTAAAATGCGGCAACAAATACTACGCCGAAATCGGCGTACCCGAGCCAGTCGCGTTGCAGGCAACGTGTGAGGTGAACGTAACGAATGTTTTATTAAATTTGGTTTATAATACGAAGTAAAATACCAGTTTACGTATTGAAACTGTGTAAAGATAATACTACAAGAAATAAGAAAGACACTGGAATCACATACTATGTATATATATTTACAATTATGTTAAATGATATAGCACTAAATTATAACTTAACGATGCATATATAGAGCCTACCCGAAAATCGTCTTGTATTGATCATATGTTAAGTAATATTAAAACAGCAATACCAGTCACATTACCGCTTTGTTTATCTGATCACAACACTGCCCAAATGTTGAAAATACCGGTTAAATTTGTAAAACAGAACCCAAGGTCCTATTTCGTTTATAAAAGAGATTACTGCTCTGAAAATGTAGAAAAATTTAATGGCTATCTTGACTGTCTTACATTTAGTGACATTTTAGAAGAAACCAATACAAATAGAGCATTTGAAAAATTCCATGACTTATTTCTCCTATTCTACTATCTCTATTTCCCGCAAATGAAAATAAAAATAATCAACACATACAATAAAGCTAAATGGATAAGCAAAGGAGAAGATTACTTAGATATAAACATTATATAAACAAAGACATCTTTAGTAAACGTATTTACACAAGTTATTCAAAAATTTTGAAAAGATGTATTTAAACGTCAAAAAAAATTAGAAATACATATTTAATTAACACTAGCAGAAATAAATGCAAAGCTTCGTGGACAATTGTAAATAATGAAATAGGTAATAATTCAAAAAATATTAATATTATTAATATTTATTTTTATTTATTTTATTTATTAACACAATACGGTTTACAGTTGTGGAGATAAAAGTTTCTTAAAATTAAATGATTAAGTACTAAACTGTAAGCCAAAACATGTGTTTATGAAGTAAGTTATTAAGAGTTACATCTGCTAAAGTTATAAAACATTTAAAAAAACAAATAAAAAAAATAAAACAGTGGCTTTGCAATCAACAAGAGAGGCCTGTTACAAGCTAGAACAAAAGTATATAGATGAGAGCAATTATTTCAATTATTTCAAAATATCCCGGATAGATCTATTGAAGACATTTGGAGTTGAACCTAGAGTATCAATATTTGGATGGTCCTGGGATATATCATTGTAGAGGCGACACATCCTAACCACTGGGTTGTAATATGATGTGTTGTTACGGTACACTTGGAGTGAAAACAGTTTAGGCTTGCGGTCACGGGCCCTGTAGTGAGTGTTTATGTTAATTGACGCAAGCAAGGACGGAGAATCAATCGTAGAGTGTACTATTTTGTGTAGATATATAAGCCCGAACCTTATGCGTCTCGTTTCTAGCGTAACCATGTTAAATTTCTGCAGCCTATCTGTGTAGGAGGCCAACTTGCGATGGTAACCATGACGAAAAGAGAGACATCTCAAGAATCTTTTTTGAATGTTCTCGATGCGTTCAGTATGTACGGTGTAAATATAAAAGATAACAATACAATTTTAACTGACTCAACCGATATAGCAAATAAATTTAACAACTTCTTTATTAACATGACCCACAACAATAACGCTAGTAATAGAATAACAAAAACTAATTCTACACAGCTCAAGTCAATGTTTCTAAGAAAATTTCAGAAAAAGAAGTCAGAAATGCAGTCATATCTCTTAAGAACTCAAATGCAACTGGTTACGATGGAATATGTACTAATATTATTAAAATTTCCATCGATAGTTTTATAAAAATACTTACACATCTTATAAATTCATCTTTTTCAACAGGTACTTTTCCAGAAAAGCTTAAAGTAACAATAATTAAACCGTTGTATAAGAAAGGTGAAAAAGATGATGTCAATAATTACAGACCCATTGCATTAATGTCAATTTTTTCCAAAATATTCGAAAAGTGTATGTTTTTGCGTCTTACTGAATACTGTCATAAGATTAGTATCATCAGTCCACACCAATTTGGTTTTCAGAAAAACAAATCCACTTCTTTAGCCACTTATACGTTAATTAAATCCATCTTAGTAAGTGTAAATAGTTCATATCTAACCACTGTATTGTTTTTTGACCTAAGTAAAGCTTTCGACTTCGTTGACCATAAAAGTCTTCTTAAAAAATTGGAAAATATGGGCATTCGAGGGATTCCTTTGCAGTGGCTTGAGTCTTATTTGACAAACAGAGGACAAAAAGTCAAAATCAAAAACCTAAATAACCAGAATAAACTGACTTCTTATTTTTCACATTTTAGGAACAACTATTTTGGCGTCCCACAAGAAAGCATTCTTGGGCCTTTGCTTTTTATTTTATGTATAAACGACATTTCAAATGTAACTAAATTCAAATGTACTATGTTTGCGGACGATATTGCAATAACAATTAGTACTAACCCAAGCAAACATTCTTTCACAAAACATGAATCTGACATAAATGACGCTATAAAATCAGTAATAGAATGGTTAAATCTAAATAATTTAAAAGTGAATCTTAGCAAAACTCAAATTAAATTTGACAACTTGAAAACTAATAAGCTTGACATATATCACAACGAAACCAAAATCGAAGAAATGACGCAAACAAAATTTCTTGGCTTAGTAATTGATAGAAACCTTAACTGGGAGTCACATATTAAATCAGTGTGTGATAGAATAAATAAATTTGTATATGCTTTAAGGTATATTAGAAAAGTCACGAACATAAATACTGCCCTGTCAGTGTATCACGCTTATGTAGTCTCTATTCTGCGTTACATGCTAATTATCTGGGGAAAGAAAAAAAAATTTTTATCACTCAAAAAAAATGTTTACGAGCACTAACTCTAAAAGCGCCATTTCATTCATGTAGACCTTTATTCAAAAAGCTTAAGTTATTGACATTGCCATCGCTCTACATATATGAAATATGTTAGTTCGTCAAACATCACAACCATCTTTTTACTAAAGCAAAAATATATCTTCTCGAAGCAACAGATACCCTGAAAAGCTTGTAATTGACACACTTCCTAGATTATCTAAATATAATTAAAACTGTCTGTCATGTGTGTCAAAATATATAATAAAATTCCTCAGCATATTAAAGCACTATCTTTCTCAAGATTTAGAAAAGGCCTCTATGATCTTCTCACAGAAAGAACTTTTTATAGCGTCAAAGAATACCTAGATTATAAATTTGACAAATGAACCACTACTATAATAATTAACGATTTTATTTTGACATTTTATTCTATTTAGTAATAATTAATAATTGTCTGATATTTCTATTATATTTAATATTTAATAATAATTAATAATTATCTAATGAATAATTATTTATAAATTTTAATTTCAATGTATCTTTTAATATTTTGTAATAAATAACTTAATAATGAGTAACTGAATTAGCCACAGACATAAATTTGATATTTGTATGCCTCTATGTAAGCGGTGAAATATGTTTGGCCTAAAGTTTATGTAATTAACACCTGTATTTACCATGTTTGATGCAAATAAAAATTTTGAATCTTTGTATATCATCATTAAGTATCATACAATTACGAAATTTTAACATAAATAACACGAGCCATAAATAAGTCACAAAATATCAATGACGCTATTCAGTGTTGCCGCGAATGCAAAAATAAAGTTCCCCGTGGCTGAGATTTTTATATGTGAATTTATTGTTACTATATTTTATAATATAATATAATATATTTAACTTATTATAATATAACCTAATTCTATATTATTTCATGTTTATGTAGTATTGCTCAAATGACATAATTACCGTTTATTAGGGTTCCGTACCCAGAGTATCAACGGGACCCAAGTCTCCACTATCGTTCCGTCTGTCTGTCAGTAGGCTGTATCTTATGAACCGTAATATGTAGAATTTTCACAGAATGTGTATTTATATTTCTGCTTTAACAACATAAAATAAAATATTAAAGGACCGTCCCGTCAACATGAATATTTTTTATTATGGGATCATCTTCGAAATTTTCAATTTATACGTGATAGACCCATACTGCAGCTATATTACTGGTATAGTTGTAGCACGAATGGGTTCAGCTCGATCGGGGTAGAACCACGCTCTCACAGAATACCAGTGTAAAATAGCAGCTTAACGCTGCTGTTATTCGTATGGTGAGTGTAGAGAACCGGAGACCCTTTTTACTGGAAACGAGGCATTCCATCGTAGTCCTCACGGCTGACAACGCATCTGCATTTTGATTCGTAGTACAAGATAGATGTAGATGTCTATGGGCCACAGCAACCACTTACCATCAGGTGGACTGGTTGCTCGTTTGTCACCCTGATCCTATAAAAAATATCTCAAAGTTAGTTATTCCATGCAAAATTTCGTACAAACTCTCAAAATGTATGGAAGACCTGATTTTTCTTACAATTTGGAAGATAGATCTGTAGTAAAAGTTGTTCATATTGATGCGTAGCATACAAAACACTATTTTGATTACACCATATATAAAACTATTTTTTTTAATAATTTGTGAATATTAGTTAGACATGTAAATAAAAAAATTAAACTGATAAATAAGAGGCCTTATCATTTATACGTCATTTATTCAGAAGAAAAACCTATGCATAATATACACAAATATATTGATACATTCGTTATTAATAAACTATTCATTTTTAAGTATTTCTGGAATACATTCATAACTATGAACTTAACTACTAAGCCATAGCATAAAATAAATTTTCCCGTTAATCGGGTAATAGTTAAGATGCTGGTATATACAATTTTTCACGCACACTAGCATCTTGCAAATTGTCTTATACACACTACAATATTAAGATGCCGCATTCACGGAGCTGTTACTTTCAGGTAGCGCGGTATCTAGTGAGAGCGCGCGATGACTTATCATTAATCTATGATAATTATTATATAATTAATGATTGCTATTAACTGTTATTTTCTTCACCACAATAATACTATTCATATCGTAAGTCACACTCTCACCGACATTCCAAGTTTTATTATTTTGGGCTACTGTGAGATGGTCTATTATGTCACACTCACACCATAGCATCTCATAATATTGTTATTTTTAAGAAATAACGTGCCAAAATTGTATCTATGTAATAAATACTTAAATTAGAATTAAGAATTAAAACAATGTTTCTAAAATTTTCAATTAACAAAGCACTTTCTAGCAGAATCTAGTTTGCAATGAAATCTAGATAATCTGAATATAGCATGGCACGTCATATTGTTTTGCCTATCTCTTACGTCTATCTATCTATCCTAACACTTCGCTTGTGTTTCGCACTCCGCACTCATAGGAGGGCATAGAGGTGAGTCCTCAAGTAGCTTGATACGCTGGATAACAATGTTGCCAACATTAGCAACTAAGTATTTTGTTACTAAACCTAAAATATGTAATGAGGTAATTATTAGAGTCTGACTGAATTTTGTTTTCAGTTTTCGGACAAAATAATTATTTTTGGCTATTTTCATTTTCGACCAATAAACAATAATATAACTTATCTAATAAAGATATACAGTGTCACCCTGTTACACTTAGTAAGTAAAACAAAATTTTCAATTCCGTTTTGCAGCCACAATTGAAGTTAATACCGAATTTCTTTTTTATTTTCGGTTGAAAAAATCTTTTTCAGTTAGGCTTTAGTAATTGTGTAATTATTGATCTACTGCTTATAAACTAGTTGATATTACGATAATAATATAGGCACAGAGAATAATATTCAAGCTTTTAAAGAAATAGAAAACGAATTATATTAATAAATTTTGTTTTGCTTAAAAAATTAATTAAAAAATAGATTATTGATAAGTCATCGCGCGGATGACTTGTCAATAATCTAAGAATTAAAAGCTGTATGTATGTGTTTCCCATTCAGTTAATATTACGCTGCCGTCGTAAAGCAAAAAGGGCATATCTTACATAGTTTCAAAATGGAGTCATATTGTACCTACCTACGTATTCGGAAACACCAAAAAGATGCGAAGAAGACGGCGCCGTAATACCAACATTATAATTAAAAACAGAATAATATCTTATTCTGTTTTTATGGCGCTAGTCTTTTCAATGTAAAAATGAAAGATAAAATATACACATTACAAGGCAATAACTGACCTTGACAGTTCGGATCGCTACGGTTAAGCTGCTTTAAGCGTTAAGCTGCTTTTTTTGTATTTTTTAGAAAATTTGTAAATTACCTATATATTTTGTTTGTAGGACCTACCAATTTTATTCCGAGATTTATTTTATTGTTTATGTACAATTCTAGTGTTTTTCTTTCAAAAGAAACCTTCAAATAGAGGGCAATACCAGGAGGGATCTAGGCCATATTTTATACGAAAAGCGTAAACTTTTTTTAAATGAAAAATTAATAGATATATCAAAAACATTTAAGTAATTAGTATACATATATATTTAAATCTCTTTGAGATATATTAACTATCTATTAATCAATACAACTAATTTGAAGTAAACTTTATACCTAGCGGCTCGCTTCAAGATGAAGGGTGTCACACGAATTCATCGAATGTGGGACGGGGTGCACATGAATCATGATGAATGAATATACTTTATTGTACACCACAAACAAATAAACAAACTACATAACAAAAGACAGATTAAATGTATAATTTATCATGATTTGAATTTTGATATTCTTAATCGCCTTTTTCCGCTTTTATTGTTTTAATATGATAGACGCTTTAAAGCATTAAATATGCTTGAACTGGTTACAATATTTTCGCCTTTGATTAAATTTAAACAGTTAATTTATAGATATTAACTCTAGTATGCACCTATTTAGTTTATTTAAAAAATAGGCAAATATTGTAAGTAGTTCGAACGATTTTTTTTTTGTTACCACTATTACCTTTAATTCAATGGTTTTAAATTGTTGTCATTACAGGGGGCGACAAAATTAACAAAAGATGATATCGAAAGGGTGTTCTCGTTATATGATAGAGTAAGTATTTTTTTTGTTTTAACGTTATTTATATTGTGTTCAATTGTGTCTATTTAACATCCTACATAATAATATGTCTCATGGCTGACCACATGTCACTTGTGAGAGAGTTATGGTGCAGAAAAGTCTACCACAATGACATGAGATAAAATATTAATACGATTTATGATTATGTAATTACATAACGTACGCAATGTGACAAGGAGATAAATATAGGCCTGTCCCGTAGGTTGCTGGATTATTTTTATTGTTATTTTTTCATTATTTTGAGTAAAACGTAACCTCCACACTAGGATTTTCTCCTGTATAGTTTACAAACATAAACTGCACAAGGACAAATATTCAGATCTGGAACAATTATTTGAAGACCGTACAAATACTTGTTCCGTGCGTACATTTGAACCCGCGGCCCTTAGCGCTTCAACTCAATTGCTAAGCCACCGAGCCGTCATTTGGTTGGTCATTTAAAAAAAATTTATTTCGGAACTAGTCCATATCACACTTCATGAATACTCAATAAGTCACTCAATAAGTCATTTTTATATGATATGTAATTCATATAAAATTGACTTATTGAGTGACTTATTGAGTTCATAAATTTCATTTCATATACAATTTATTCATATACATCATTCATATACAATCCATTTGGATTTATACGGAGGATTTTGCCATAGATGATTGATTGAATTGAATTGAATGAGTTTTGGATTTTCAAATTAATTTCTTGCCGTCTGTCGATTGTCAATTGTCAAAGCCTTTTGATCCCTGTCAAAAATATTAATACTTCATCTTTTTTAACCGACTTAAAAAAGGAAGAGGTACTCCATTCAATTTTTTTATGTGTGTTACCTTAGAACTTTTTCCTAGATGAATCGATTTTAATGAGTATTTTTGGTGCTTCTCATGTTGTCCCATATTGATCAAGATCTGACCAGTAGTTTTTGGGTAATCCTTACTTAATAATATGTATTTAATTGACTTCGACTACAGTGATGATGTTCTCATTTTATTTATATTGAAGTCGGCTGTACGAAATTTTTAATTTTACCAATTGTTTATTTTAATTGTTTATCGTAGGAAGATTAAAATACAGTTTTCCTCTTCTTGTTCGCGCCTCTTGACAGGTGGATTTGCGATGGAAATAGGTACCAGACGTTTCGCATCATCGACATTACTACCTGCCGCCGCTCTATACAACATGTAACAAAAACCCTATGGTTCCCGTTAAGTGCCTTATCCATTGAGTTATATGTACTACGTACTAGAGAAGCCATTCTAAACAAAAAATGTGCACTACTCTATGTCTTCGCGCATGCGCGGGAGATAGTAGAGTCGCGCATGCGCAGTTGATTTAAGCGCGTTGCACCTGCGCGGTCAGTTTTTAATTTAAACTTTAATTTGAAATCTTGTATTATTAGCACCGCACCACACTGCATGTATATTGAAACCACAGACTAACTAGTAGATTGAAACCACACTAAATGCCACACTGTACGGATTGCAGTACAGTTCAGTTGAACATAGTGTATGTTCGGAATGCGAAATCTAGTAGTCAGAATCAGTGTTCAAATGTATAGAACAAATTTTTTCTTTTTTCAAAAAAACTCGACCATTAACAAATTAAATTTTCATAAGAAAAAAGTTATTTCTATATCTATATCTAGAACCACACGGTTTTTGTTACATTTTTTATATTTAAGTCTTGAGTAAAGATGGCTATGTCGCAGCCAACTACCTTAATTTGTCTTTCGACGACGACAAAAAACGACAACAGCACATGAATGCTTTTGTTGGTTAACGTTTTGTCGATTAATACAACATTTTAAAATATATCGGAATACGATACTCTAAAACAAATATCTAATATCGATATATCGTGCTAAAAATATTGACGATATATATATATGTCGATATTATTATGAGAAAATATCGATACTTCGATATATTGATACTTTTACCCAAGACTACATTCCGTTCCGTGGGGGTCGATATACCCGTATGACGGTATAGCTGTCTCGTCAACTAGCTTGATTAACCTTTCAGCTGACAGCATAGCCTTTTTACTAAAAGGCGCCGATCAAGTAGCGGCCTGAATGATATTCACTCGATGCGTCTAATACAACATTGCAGCTATGTTGTAATATCAGCGACAGTAGGTTAAGGTGCGACTGCGGTGGCCTTTGAGGCAACTGGAAGTCGCCAATATCTGAACGGAATGGGAAAATGACTAAGTGCTCGCTGTAAATTTCACAGTGCAGTAGCAACCCGGCTTCAATCCCCGCCTGCACCAATAAAACTGTTACAGTTACCGTTACAGCCTGTTAAAGTCCACTGCTAAATATAGGCCTTCCCCATAGATTGCCTAATAGGAGGGATATTTGCCATAGTTGCCACGCTTGGCAACCGTTATATAAAACTGTCAATAAGTTATTAAGTGTTAAGTAATAATTTAGTTATTTAGTATTTGTATACATCATGTCCGATTTAATGTAGGCGTCTTCAAGGCAACAGTGCAAAGTAGTGTAGTGTAGTTACGCTAAGACAGTGCGATATACCATCTAGGACTTCATCACTAATTACCAACATGTGGGATTACAATCAAAGACTGGCTTTTAATAAGAAAAAATAACTTTAAAATATAATTAATTTAAAAATAACCTACATTATCTTTCGTATCGTTTCCAGGACAACAATGGCTCAATAGAAAACGAAGAACTGCGCGGATTTCTAAAAGATCTACTAGAGTTAGTTAAGAAGGTATGTATGTGTACTTAGGTGTGTTAGATACATTTTTTTATAGGATAGGGTGACAAACGAGCACACAGTCCACCTGATGGTAAGTGGTTACTGTGACCTATAGACATCTACATCTATCCTCAATAGACTCAAAATGCAGATGCGTTGTCACCCGTGAGGACTAAGATGGAATGCCTCTTGTCCAGTAAAAAGGGTCTCCGGTTCTCTACACTCACCATACGAAACACAGCAGCGTTAAGCTGCTATTTTACGCTGGTATTCTGTGAGAGCGTGTTCCTTCCCCGGTCGAGCCGACCCATTCTTGCTACAACTATACTACTAATATAGCTACAGCATGGCTCTACCACGTATAAACATATACATATATATACTACATATTTATACATATTTATCTTATAAATAGTTTTTTTTTTCTTATTATTTCTGTACATGAGCCTCTCCCGTTGTAGGAAAATCTCCACGCTTGAAGGGCGAATTGGCGATCGCAGTAAGAAACATGCTAATCTCGTCTTTTACCATATTTTATAAACGAGATACTTGTACTGACATGTGTCGGTAAATAAAGGATTCGCCTTCCATTACCTCTAGCGAAACCCACGGAACAAAATGGGATGTTGGATTTTCCTCCCCCAGCACCAACAAATCATAAATAGGTTAAACGGTTATTTGAATTCGTGTAGCCATGTAGTGGCGGCTTATGAAATCTCGCATCGTTCCGTAGAGGTCGTTAGAGGCAATAGGTACTAAGAAATTAAACAGGAGATGGGCTCCAGCATCACAGTAATAACAACTTAAAATAATAAAAATAAACAGAGACACTCATAAGGACTGCAGACAGAAGCGAAAACTCAATGATATATACGTATACGTGTACACAAGCCACTATACTACGCGTCACTAGTAGTAACGTACGTCATGACGTATTGCGCGCAAGCGTATGTCGAGGTCATCGGTGACGCGCACTCGCAAGTTTTTTCCCTACCAAAAATCGCTCAACGCGGCTAAAGAAGTTTTCACTTCGAAAACTGTGGATGCCAATCCGTTTGTCAAACGTCGCAGCCCTAAGTCAATTTAGGAGGAAAACCTATAATTAGATGTCAGCTATTTATAGGCTGTTAGGATAATGATAATACTGAAACATATGCAATGCAATATAGCTTATGTTACTCAGAATATTATAGCTGCCAAGCTTAACTTTTAAAGCTAATTTTTCCTGCAATGAGTGGACGGTTTCAATCTAATATATATAGTGATTTCAGATAAAGTGTGATGTGACCGATTCTAGTCGACACATGTTGCGAATCTGAATATATTTATGTAAATACGGCTCACTAATTTTTTCTGTCTTCATGGAACTGTAATCGGCTATTTTTAAGAAGGAAAAACTGTTGAATAAGTTAACAGATAAATATCGACAGATCGTAAGTGCGTCTCCCCATTTTGGCACGCTTGGCGGGCGGGTTGTAGTGTTACCGGCGGTAGTAGTCACTTACCATCAGGTCGTTTTGTACATGCTCGTTTGCCAATGTTCTGTAAAAAAATAAAAAATATATTTGGTTAAAAAATAATATTATGATCTAGCAGAACTAAGCAATATAAGTACTCAATAATTTGTATTTTATTCGGTTATAAACTTAAGAATGTTCTGACAAAGCACAGCCTTTAAGAAATAATAAGTTTATCAATTATAATTTTCAGGATTATGACGCTCAAGACTTGTTAGAATTTGAAGAAACGATCCTTCAAGGTGTAGAGTACAGCAGTGACGGCAAAATCAGCAGGAAACAACTCACAATGATACTGCTGGCACTGGCAAAACACCACCAAGAAGAAGAACCAGGAAGCCCATAAACTTAAAAAAACACAAACGCCACTCCGTCCTAGTATCCGAACGAATTATTAGAAAGGCAAGTTGGTCGAGAGCTTTTGCACAAAACGAAATGATCATTTTTTACACAAATTAACCGCATCACTTCTGATCCTGAAGAACAATATTTTGTAGCAGAAGTTAGGAAAATAATTTCATTACGTAATAACTAGTATCTAAAATAAAAAAGCAGTTAATGACATAAGTAAAATATTTTTTTTTTTAATTTTTAATTATTATATTCGATATAGTCGATTTGTTTTAGTTATCGTTTTGTGCATTAGACCTCTGGTTGGAAATTATTTTATTTTTCGAAAATTAAGTTTCATTAACGATTTCTCCTATTTTCTAACCTCGACTTTATTTATATAAATATTGAAGTAAACGTGTTAATCGTTTGACGTTAAAAATTATTTTTGTATTAGCACTAAGAGCAATTGACGTTTGAAACGATATTTAATTTAAAAATACTTAATTAAGTAATAAATATTTTTATTATGGAAGTCTCATAAAACAGAAATATTTACGTACTTATACTTACCTTGTTTTTATAATCACATAAAATGGTCTAAAAGTATATTATGTTTTTAACGTATACTTTATATTCTTTTAACGTGATGTTGTTAGTTGAAAAGTTATGGAATTGTACAGCTAAGTCCATACTACCGTAGTGATTTTTATATTAAATTAGGATCATACGTAACACAGAACAATCGAGATGATACAGCTAGTACCTTTATTATTACTTATGGATATAATTTCTAATACTAACACTAAAATTCTATTCGAATTAATACCCTTTCGAACCATATTCAAACTTCGAACACATTTTTAAATGCCAAATTTAATGCCAAATATTATAAGAATTAATTATGCTTTTTTTTAAAGAAAACTTACCTATCGTACAACTAAATCAATATCGAAGTAGAATTTGCCTACATATCACAGAAGCTTATTTTTGTCTAAATATTTTATAAAACGTGAAAGCCGTAGAAAGAAATAATAGGTATTTAGAATTATTTTTAAAGCGATTTGTTATGCTATATGTATAGCAGAACAAAGGGCTGGTAACGTTATTATAACCATACCACAGTCTAACTACTTATGTTCTTCTTAGGCTGTGACCGTACTATGGAAAACGTGTAATCTAACAATACGTAAAAAAAAAATTAATTTTTTATCTTTATTTATAATGTTAAAAATATTATCATAGTTTCAATTTCCGATATGTTGTAATTAAATGCTCATGCTTAGACTATTTTCTTAACATAATGATAGACTTAAAAAGACGAAACAAAGTTCCGATATTGTATTTCAGATGCATACTTGTCGATACCAAAAACAAATAGTATACCATTATATAAACCTCTCCTCGAACCCTTCTACTATATTTTTTTTACTTTAGGTACTATAATTTATACTTAAAGAACTGTCACTTAACTTCGAACTACATGTTCGTTAGCTTGCGCATTAATAAAAATGAAGTTGTTTCTCAAACTTCTATGACAATACCAAAGAAAAAAAAATTGTTATGGACTAGCATTAAAATAAAAATGTATAATGTGCTTCAAGGTGTGTAGTATCGATGGATTAGAATCGCCGTAATATATAATTGTTGTTATTGTTGATACTTGTCTGTATTTTATTAAATTGTATAATCGGTGTTTTGTTTCACGGTATTTTAAATATTTAGCGGTGCATTTTCATACTCAAAATATTATCCTTATGCCCATTAACTAAAGTTAAATAACTTTCACAATTCTGGGCGGTCATTAATTCACTCATAACAGCCTATCAAAGTCCATTGCTGAACATAGGACTCCCCCATACATTACCTCATAAATATTCCCTATTTGCGGCGGGTTGGCAATCTCAGTTTAGTCATAAGAAAGAGGCTGATGATTTGTGTCTCTCTGCCGCCTCTTACGACACCCACGGAACGATATGAGGTAATAGATCTTACACCGCCACTACACGCACTATACAGTAGTAAATCCAGATTTAACATTTTCTTATCTCACTCTTTTTAAACTCTCTAAATGAAATAATGTAGTAAAATCTCTAACCCACGATCGCGACATATTTAATAAAGTAGAACAAATGTACAGTTTTTAAGCTCCGCAGGCAACTTATAGCGTTGAACCTATTTTGGGCCGATTATAACTTAACTCTGTTCATTTTAGCATGAGGTTTTATATAAGCCATAAAATTTGTTCTTAAGTACAGCTAAGTGATGATTGGAGTACCTATATTTTCAAAGTATGTAAAAGCTCAAAAAAAATACCCTACTCAAATAAGTTTTGTATACTCACTTTATATATTTATAAGAAATATTGAATTATTACTTAATTTAATGATTATACGAAAATATTAAATTTTATTTTTTACATTATTGTTACTGTGTAGTTACTAAAAATTTATTTTATACTCAAACTTTAAGTCTTGCAATGGGATTATATGAAATAGAAATGAAAAAGGAGAAAAATGTCAAGGGTGGCGAAAAATTAATTAGTGACACTTTTAATACCTATTTATTATAATTATCGCAGATCTTATTTTATTATAAACATATTTCATCTAAACTAATATTTATATTAAATTAGTGGTTTACAAGTATATAGTTAAACCTTTGAAGTAACATGTCACGTCTTAGCTCAAGTGTTACTGAGATCGAAAATGTTTGAGAAACACTGTTTTTTTATGTTCATAATAAAATCTCATACTAAAAATGAAAAGTGTATTGATGGTATTAATACTAAAATGGTAATAATCTAGAAGAGTTAGAGTCAACAGAAACAGGAGAAATTTTTAATCTCATCATGCTCGAATTTATATAACCCTTGCTCAGTAACTGTAACTGCTATGCCGGTTGCTAATATTAGCATTGTGTTAATATCACGCCGCTATTTTGTATTCAGATCCCCTTTTTTTTTTTAAATTTAGCCACGACGGGCATAAGGTTATTTCTACCTAGTATTAAAAATGTGAATGCTTTAAACGCAAAATCAATTTTTAAATTGGTAACTGTAATAATATTTCAATGTTGACATGTAATATTTATTATTTTGCCATATAAATAAATGGCCCGTCTTAAATTGGTGTTGTGATGAATTAATACTTAAGATGTCGTAGGAACTAGTTTATAATGCACAAAATGCCAAAATTATATTTATGTATTAAATGTATTTAAATGCATCTTACATATTAAGTAGTTTAATGTGATTATGTGTAATGAAGCAAAAATAAAAAAAAAACATCACGTAGATTTTTCTAAATTTCACAACAATTTTAATCGAATTTTATAATTCAAAGCAATTACTGACTACCAAGCGTGTTATATTATTTTTGTTTGTGAGGAACAATCAAAGCAATTGCTTTAACTTTAAAAAAACTAATTTAAGCACTTTTAGTGTCTGTTTTATATTCAGATCATATTATACTGTCCAGATAAAAAATCGCATACAATATGCCACTTCAATACACCCAACACAAAATTTAATTAATTTTAATGTCTCGCCTACACCATTTGCATAAACTTTTTACATGTTCTTCGTCTATTTCTTCTACATTAGCCCGTAAAAGTCTACTGACAGACGGCAGTCGGATTAACGATCGTATTAAAACATCTTGCACCTTATGGAGTGTAGAGTAGAAGGAGAACCATCTTATAAGGTGCGAAAGTTGAAAAAGTGTCCCAATATATACTGAAAATAGAGGTTCCAAAACCTACCACAATAGCGCTGGCGTCTGGAAAACTACGATATGAATATAGGTGTTGTAGACGGAGTGAAGTCAGCTGAATTAAAATATTTAAAAAATTTCATGACTAGAGTAGTTAGTAAAATGCCAGTATACAAAACCTCAACTATTTACGTAGTACAAAACCAGGCGGATTGGTCGGTCCTTGTTTATTTCTCCATCTTATTCTAATGAATTTTGGCGCTTTTTTTTTAATTTATCCTATGCTACTGCAGCGCCACCATTATTGGACGCGTTTTTAGGGACACTTTTCATATACAGAGATGGTCCTCCTTCTACTCTACACTCCATATTGCACCTTTATAATGCATTAACTAGACAGTATAACAAGATTATGATCTGAGTGTTGCTAGTTATTAATAAATAAACGTGTCAATAGCCTATTATAGCATCAAATTAAAATTGAAAATCAGTTATTAAACCAGCAATTTAGAGTTTTATTTAAAGCTAAATATGACACTAGCACTAGAAGTAATAGTGAATCAATTATGACTACGGCAGTTTTGGGTTTTTTAAACACAAAATATGACATCTTACTTGCATTACACGTATATTATTTTTAGTATCTTGTACAATTACTATAATTTATATACATAACATTCAAATATACTTATCCATTATTAAAATATATGTTTTATCGTCTTTTATCTTTAAAGTTACATACCAAAGCCATATTCATACACAATAATATAAAAACGACATAGGTACGTTTTCAGCTCAATCTGTTAAGTATTATTTTCTTCTGTTTTAATTAAAAATTATAAAATATAAAAAATTAGCTTTCGTGTCATAAATAATGATAAATAAGTTTATTTGGTTTTGACACTTCAAATTTAAGATAAACCACATGACACAATTTATTAATTCAAATTTAAAAACTTAGGATATCCTAGGAACAATTTTCATATATATATTTTGTCATATCTCAAGTCGTTTATACGTTGCCTGGCTATGTTAGTTTTATTTAATTTGCAGCTCTAACATAATTAGAGCTGGTATTAACTCCTGTACACTTTCTAAAGGGGCCATCCATAAAATACAAACGTCAAAAGAAGGTAATTGCCCTGCGTTATTATATTATAATATGGTAATGCAAAGTAGGGAGTACCTGGAACGTCGTTATAAGATGTATTAAATACGTATTATTCAATTTAACAAAATTATTTATACTTTTTTTTTAACAATCAAAATCATTTACTCTAGGAAAAGACAGGCTGTGACGTAT